ATTTATTTATATTTTTATATATAGCCAAGTCCATAACAACTCATATAGAATTTTCAGTTAATTTTTACTGCAATTTTCTATGCCTCGACTTACCCCGTTATGCTCTCCTTTGAGCTTCGCTGCTGACATGTTGCAGCGCATGCCGAAGGCAATCATGAAGCCCACGCAGGCCATTGTAGCGATTGTGTACCGTGCCGGCATGCAGGGGCATTCCGCCTTGCAGTACTTGTCGATCTTGCGCAGAGGTGGGCGTTCGATCTCCTCGAAGGAGGCGGGCGAGTCGGGTCGATCGTCGTCGTCGTCGTAGGCGTGGCCGCCGCCAGGTCCACGCCCCTCGCGCTCGCCGCCCTCCATCTCCTCGTAGCCACCGTGACCTCCATGATAGCTCTGCGATATCTCGAACTTCTCCATATTCGGCTTCAGACTGCAAGAAAGGTGAAGGGAAACAAAGGTGAGAGGTCACATAACTCATGCCAATTAGTTGACAATGTCGAGCAACAGGTGAGAGTAAGTGGGAGAGGGAGAGAGAGAGTCTGGCATTTGGCTCAGGGGAGGCGTAAAAACACAAATATTTTCAGCTTGTTAGGGCAAGAAATTTGACTGCCTCTTGTCTTGCCCTGAGGGACCTTGTTTGCCTTCCGTGGGGGGTGATTCATTCAATTGAAACTGAATTCAATTCCATTAAGTGCTGCGACCGAGAAAACTGATTTTCCCAGCCAGGTAAACCGCTCTCGATTCAGATTTCGATATCAGATTGTGGCTTAAAGCTAGCATTTAGCACTGACAAAGGCTGATTGATGACAGACTGTGGACATTTGGCTTAATGCATAGGCGAGGGTAGCTCGAGCATTAACCCAGCCTAAGTGACACATCAACATTGATAACCTCATCACTGGTGGCATTAGCAACTCTCTCCCTCTCTCGCCCTCTCTGTCTCCTTCTACGACTCTCTGGCATTCCGTCTCATAAATTTGCAGACAAACGCCGTGGCCCACCTCCTTCGATACAGAATAAAAATCCACTACTGTGCCAACTTCAATATCTCTTTTTTCCCCGTCCGCGTCGCCGTTTGTCACATAACTCAAATGTCTGACGCCAAAGCTACCCTCGTCTGGTCACGCAGCTTCCTTCTAGTCCGCGTAGTCCTCGCAGTCTTTGCCTCGTGCCTGCTGCCTGCTGCCTTGTGCCTTGCGCCTTGACCGAGTTTAATGCCGGCTTGTCTGACGCCAATTTTATACCCGCTATTTATGGATCCCCACACACACACACACACATGCACTCACATGCACACTCACATTTATAAAACTTTGTTTAGAGTAGCTGGAACTTGCTCACATTGTTTGAGGAGGAGCGCAAAGAGATAGCTCTAACTATATAAGCATATATAATGCGTGTAGCTTGGATTGATTATGATTTGTAGTCAATAGAAGATATCGCTCTATATACATACTTTTTCAGCTTCTGGACTGATTGCTTGATTGACAAAGTTGCTCAGTCAGACGTCAATCTTCAGATTGAGGAACTAACTTAATTGAACGAATTCATTGTTTACAGAGCATAATTAGCTTTCTTATATAGCAGGCTGATTGACTCTCGGATTGATCAATCAAATGATGGATATTGATTGACTGTGTCATTTTAAACATCTGTTATCTATTTGGATAATTAACTAGATTAACAGACTGGTTTATTTGACAATATACAGACTGTTTGATTGATTGATTGGCAAGAATATAAAACTGATAAGCTGACTCTTTGATTGACAGACAATGTTTAGCTCATAGAAAAATTAATGATTGCTTAACAATTTGACTCATTTGGCTAATCATTGGCTGTCTGATTGAATGATTGACTGACTATTTCATAATGTGACTGACATTGATTAATAAATAGATTGCTTAGTCGACAAATTGAATGAATGACTGGTTGACAGATTGACTGACTGATTTGCTCAACCAAAGTCAGTTAACTAATTTTCTAGCTACATAACTAGCTGACTGACTTCATTAACTGATTGATAGATTGTCATGATTGACTGATTAAACTGAACTAATAAAATTTGAGGAAAGAAAACTAAATTTTTAACTGTAACCCTATAAGAAATAATTCTGAGTCATTATATACCGAACTGCTTGATTGACTAATGAAATTGATAAAAGATGAAGAAAACTATGAAACTAATCTATACTATTCTAACATATCTCTATATCACTTTATGCCGAACGGTTCTAGTCATACATCATCGCACTATTGGCAAGCGTATCTCGAATTCGTGCCAAGTGAAGTTCACTTTCCTCGACTGTCTACAGTTTCTCTTGCTTTTTTGCTTTGTTGATAAACTATTGCTCAAGTTTCTCTTATTTTCTTTTCTTTTTTTGCTGGCACTTATTTGGCGGGTTTTGATTGTCAGTAAAAATGTTGGAGACTTTTTGGCGCCGCATAGATTATGGCTAACTGGCGCCGCTGTCTTGGCAGCCACGAAGGCGGAGTTGGAGTCGGCTGAAGGTTGTTGTGGCCTGGCTTTAACTTGGGCCACAATGGGCGCGCCCATTAGTCGAGCATTGGGGCAAAATGTTTGACTTGGCTTGTCAGAGACATGACTCGGCGACTCCAGCTGGGAGGCAGCTCGACAATTCTAATTTCGCTGAGGACACAATGCTCGACTTGTCCTTGAAGCTGTACGCATTTCAATTTCTTCTCGCGCGCGCCTTTCGAGTGCCACTCGACATCAGGCACAGATCCTGGCAACCGTTTTCAATGAGCTCGGCGAAATCAATTTCATTTGCGTGCAGCCTTTTGAATTTCAAGGAGACCAGGCTGCCTGACTGCCTGACTGCCTGTTGGTATGCAACACTTTTTCTCCTTTCCGCTCGATGCTTCACACACATTCCTTAATGAAAACGAGCTATCACCTATTGTTCCAATTTCTAATTTACACTGCGCGCGTCTCCCCGACCGAAAAAGTCCTTGAGCAAATCAGTTGTTCACTCGTAATCGAGTCCTGCTGTTGCCAGGAGCGTGCCCATAAAAATTGCATACCACACATTCACTTTCACACACACACTCACACTCACACTCACATTCATATTCACTATTAGTGCTCGGAGTCAATATGCTCATGACTCTTTATACTGTTTATACTCGTTTAGGCTGTGAGAGGGGCATATTGGCTCTATGAAAATCTTTTGTTCGGTTAAGATATCAAGTTTACCAAATCTTTTGACGCCATTGAAACTAGAGGCTTGTTGTTTTAAATATAGCTGAGTCCATAAATCAAGAGAACTTGCCAAAATCGAAAAACGATCTACCTAAAATAGAAAAACGATATCCTACACACTTTTGCGTGCTCAATTCCTCAGCTTAATATTTGCCAAGTAGAGATTCTCTCAGTTTAAGAAATCTGACAGCTAAATGAACCAAAAATGAGAAATCGAATCGATAACAACTACATAGAAACTATCGATGTATATATGCTCTATAATCAACAAGTAAATGGGGGTAAGATAGCCTATCCCATCCTAACCTATCACATCCAATTGTAATGCCGGTCGAGCTCAGGTCGAATATAGGAGCTTAGACCCAAAATATTATCTAATTCTTCACTGGGGCATGCCAAAACTCTATTATTTGATTTAAAATGAAAGTCTACATTTTGAAGAGATTGGTTGTTGTGCTGCTGTGCGATAAAGTCTGTATTCCTTCCTTAACGATCAACCTGCATTGATATTGTCCTCTCTTTGTCTGTGAATCAATCAACATGTTATATCTCATGAGTAAAAATTACATTCCATCAAATATATTCTATATTATATTACCTATATATCAATCTTACAGTCTGTGAGTCATAGAGAATAATCAAGCTTAGGAATTCACAGTTGAACCTCTAATAATAGATCTTCATATAAATCTTTATATAAATGCCCCAGATGTACAACGATTTGAATTCTTCTTACTGAACCTTAAACAAGTATTACACAGTCAGTTATGCCCCAGTGTAATGCCCTTGCCGAGTGTATTGTTTACCATGAGCCATCAGCTTGCCACACAGGGGCAGCTGTTTGCTTCGCTTCCGCTGGAAGCACGTGCCACGGCTGGCAACGTGCACGAAATTCCTTAGCCAACGGTGAACGTCTCGGCACGCCGTTGCCTTTCATAGCTGGCGGCCAGACAGATTGACTGATTGACTCACTGACTAGCTGGCTGATTGACTGACTGACTGACTGACTGACTGACTACAGACCGTAGTTGGCTGCAGCTTCTTGTGGCCTCTTTAATGACTTGTTAAGCATGCCAATAATTTTTACAACTTTGCGACGCGCCACAGCGCGAGACGACGACACGTGCCCAACTTTCGCGACGCTGGCTAAGTCCCGCCCTCGCCCCCTCTCTAAGTACTTCCCACAGCATCCTTTTTGCATGGTCAAGTTCAGCCAACCACGCGTCACGCTCTCGTCTCGTTGCTGATCAACGTTGCGTTAAATTAAATTTTTTTCCTATTTTTCATTCAGTTGTTTTGTTTTTTTTTTTTCGGCCATTGCCATTTGATTGCAATCATATTTCAGTCTCGGCATATTGCACACTCATCATTTGCGACACTAGCCTACAGAAAGTTGGAATTTAACAAAGCATGTAAAGTTACATATATAGGTTTTACAAGAATTTCTTTCCTGTTGTCATTTTCTATGCCAGCTTGATTATAGGAGAAAAGTTACTGGACCGGATCGTGCTATAAAATATATTAAGGAACATTATATATGTATATTTCTTCTCCTAACCTATATGTTATATGTTCCTCATCCATTCATTTCTGCCGAGATAAAATTACCCAAAAGAGAGAAGAACTCTAATCCAAAATATTATATAAAAAAAGCCAACTGATCTATTCTATTGGAACTCCCATAAACTCTCAACTGTCTCTTAATTATTATTTTGCTTTTCTTATAACAACCCCATTTGTGCTGCACAGTGTAGTTCTTTCTATTCATGCTATTTTCGTTTCGTTCTGCTGGTCCACTCACCCGCTGAAAACGCCTGTCGCCTTCTCCTTAAACGCCGTCAAGCCCTTCATGATGCGACTTTTTGTTTTTGTTTACTGGCTTTAGTTATTGTTGTTGTTGCTACTGTTGTTGTTGTTGTTGTTGTTATCGTTTGTGCGCATAAATATTTTGTTGCCTACTTCACGGCGGCTTAGCTTTTAGCTACTCTCTGGGCGTGTCGAATCGCAGCGGGGCTAATTTTATAACTCAATTTTGGTTGGCTCGTTCGCTCCGGCGGGGTTCCAAATTTGTTGCTGCTGCTCTTGCTGTTATTCCTCGTAGTTGTTGTTGTTGAAGTTGTTGATGTTGCATTTTCACAGTGCCTGGCAAAAGAGAGGAATTGATGGTTAAACAGTATTCGTTATTATTGTCCGCCTCGTGTTTTGCTGCTGATAAGCAAAGCCTAAAGAGCTCAAAGTCTCATAATTTGCCACATTTGTCGTTCATTCATTTGTGGCTGCAAATGTTTCTTAAGCGGCTTATGACCATAAATTTCGCCTGCCATTTGATAGTCGAGTTGAGTTTTTGCGAGTCTTGCAATTGGTTTTTGGGGTAGGTAATATAGGAATGAAGATGACATAGGAAAAATGTTTGAGTGGAAAATTTAAATTTAAAACTTAAATTGGTTTTAAAAGGGGTTTTTTTTTATTTTCTATTAGATTGGGAAAATAATAATAATTGGGATATAGACATATCTCTTCTATAAAATTTTTTTTATAACTTTGACTCTAGTTAGAACAAAATTCGTTATTAATTTTCAGAATTCTCTTTATAAATAATAAATAAATAATAAATTTGTATTGCATTTAAGTCTAAATTTACATATAACGACGGCCGCCTAAAGAGCTGAGCATTTTAAAGGATTATTTTTATTTCACAATATATTTGAAAATTAAAAATGTAATTTAAGTTTGTCCTAAAATTCATTTTAAATAAACTTTGATGTGTTCTAAAATGAAGCAAAATTTATTCTTAATAAATGGATTTTAAAAGGAAAATCATTTTTATATTCATTTCTATACAAGGTATATAAAATATAAAAAATACAAAATCCAGTAAAATATCTTGTATTCTAGCAAAAGTCGTAACCAAAAATATAAAATAACGCTTTCCAATCTCTTCATATTCCTATTCATACCATCAGTCTAGATATGAGAACAAAAGAAATCAATAATTATCAATGACTATTCAGTCGGCCCTACAACACTTGACCTTTAGGCCTTCCGTCACTTACATTGCTCACGAGTATTGCGTAATCCATTTCTCGGCTCGATTATGTAAGCGCCTCACGTAATCCCAATGCCAGTTCTCGTATTAATATTATTTTCGTTTAAATGTGTTTTTATATGTATTTAATTTTAAAATTATACAACAAAATTTATAATATTTTAAAATAATTTTTATTTATATTTTAATAACTTTCTTGTCGCTTTTTTTTTTTCGTTTTTAGTTATGATATCACAAATAAGGTACACAGATCATAGATATATATTTATATGTAGACGTAGCTCAAATCGTTTACAACATAACACGTTACGCTGTAAGAAACGAAGAAGAAGAGAGTCGAAGTTTTATATAGTTTTTAGGGTTATATAAGTGAGTTTTATGGAGAGTTCAGAGTTAAAAAAAACGGTTTAGTTTAGATTTAGACACAAAAGATTTCGTTTATAAATTTTTTCTTTATTATAATACAATTTTATTTTATTTTTTATTAATTTAGTGGACCTCAAGCTAATAAGTTTGATTAAGAATTTCAGTATATAAAATATAGAGGTTTTTTTCAGATTACTTTATATTTAAGGAAAGTTTCATACGATTTCTAAGCAACACACGCCCATTAAATGATGGAGGAAAGTGGAACGGAAAAGTAATTTAAGTTAAAACTTAATTAAATTAAAAAATAAAGCTAAGCTAATGCTAGACGCGACAACATTCAGACAGAGTTGAAGTCGAGCCCGGCGGCTGGCTCGACTACGACTACGGCGACGACTACGACGACGACGACGAGACTCGATTTTTGTAGACGATCCGCGTTCAACTCTGTCTGAAGACTGTGCGGCAGCTCGGCTGAGCAGGCGAGCTGGCGAGGATCAGACAATGAGCGTAGCCCAGGTTGGCGCTGCCAGCGCATGCGACAGTTGCAACATTGTGTGGCAAGTACATAAGCAGCTGTCTCTATCTAAAAGCTATATATATATATATATATACATATATATAGGCAGCCCAGCTGGGGTTGCTGTCTTGGTATATACACTGGAAATTTTCGACTACTGGAACTGGAATGCCAACTGATTGGAAGTCGAACGCGTGGGGTTTTTTACTTCCAAAGAAAACGAGTTTAATCACAACTTTTGATTAGCACAAAATCACTTTCGATTACTTATAGTATTTGTTTATAATAATTGACAGCTATATACACATACATATATATATATATATGTATATACACATATATATATATATGGAATATAGTTGCTATCTCTGTGTACACACTCACTGGGCACTAACGCTGCGGCGCTTGGCTTTGGCCTCAGCAGGACAACGCACGAAGTAAAACTAACGGCAAAGCCAGCATTTGCCCTTCTTGTCTGGCCAGCCAGTCCAGGATGCTCTGGTCCAGCTTATGCTCGGCGAGCATAATCAGAGCTCCTACCGTCTCGCTCGCACTCGGCCCACACAGCGTGCCGTGGTGAAAAGCTCGCGTGGGGCTGCTGCGCAGGCTCAGCCAGGCTCAATGTGGATGTGCAGGAATTTCTTGGCACTCGGCATTGGTCGAGGGTTGCTTCTGGCAACAGTGTAGCAGGTCGAGTTTGGCCGGTGGTGGGGGCCAAACCACCTGGCCTGCCCGAGCACCAATCAGAGTGCACCTCCACAGACACACACACACACACACAGATACATACATATGAACATGTGTATATTGCTGTAGCTATGTGTGGCATGTGGCATGCGAGCAATGTGAATCTCGGCGCTAACATGTTGCCAAGCACAGGCGGCATTGTTTAGCTAGATATATATCTATATATTTGTATAGCATAGAGTATATATATGCATATGTATGTGTACCGCTTGACTGTCTGTTATATAGCGCAAGTGTCGGCCATTTTGAATATTTACTTTGTTTGGCTTCAATTGCTTTTCTATAGCTTTGCTTGTGCGCTGCCGCGATTTATGTTGCAACATTCATATACACATATTTATTATATATGCATATATTCGCTATATATTCCTGGCATTTGTTATTGATTGGCCAAGCGTAATGCCAGTCAGCGTCCAGCTTGAGTTTAAATCAACGATCTATCAGCCATTTGAATTATTTGAATGCCGCGTGTTTTCCCACAAATTAATATCAAGTTTTCACATTATTTATGGTTTGCTTCCTTGAGTTACTCTAAATTAACTATGGCAATTTATCAGCCGAACAAATTCGAATGTCCTCAATGAGATGATAAAACATTGACTTCTCTTTTATTAATGCAATTCAATTCATTTTGTTCATTTGAGAGCAACTGCCTGAAGTTGAGAGACTTTAATGAGGTACTCAAATTTATAGCCGTCAAAATGGATGCGAAAAATAAAACAAAAAATTAAAAAATATACACATGTATAGTATACTTAAATAGAAAATAAATAAGGGCTTCAAATTGTGAGAAAAAATCTTAAATATTAGCTGTTAAAATTATAAAAAGTAATTTCAAAATAATTGCGGATACGTTTAAATGAAATTATCAAAAGGAAAAAACTTATCAATTTTTAAATTTATATAACTGCATTTAATAAATAGGATAAGTATTATAAAAGTATAAGTATTATAAACATATCAATTATTGCACACAAAATTATTCAAATAACATGTTAGATTTTAATTCCAACATAAAATAATTTCAATGATTTTATTAAGTAATTTTTATTGTTGCTTAAACAGAAAATTTTACAAAAAAAAAAAATATTATATATATTTATAT